AAATCTTCCAGCCACTACTACAAATATTTCTCTTTGCTACAAACGGTCAAAGAATGCTCTATGCTCGAGCCTGGGAGGATAAAGCAGTCCACTGATCCCGGAGCTCCTTCCCTCACGCAAAAAATCCTGGCTCACAATTGTTTCACTACCTTCCACCACTCAGTACCATTCAACATCAAAAGAGAAATGAGCCCATTTCGGCTTGGAGGGGGCATTTAGCACTTCGCTTGTCTCTTTTTAGTCCTCTGACAGATCTCATCTTCGTCAGCCCTGTAATCTCCTGTGACGCGCGGAATCGTTCGAATATGTTACTTTGCTCACAGTAAGGAAACTTTACAAGGTGGTTTGATCAAGCTTCGTGGGAGAGGAGCTTTTTTTGTAAATATCTGCCGACGTTCCGGGCAATGATACGAGAGTTGAAGCGTCACCTACGGCACGTTGGGAACTCTCAGCGAGGAGGTTGTCTTTCGATGGCTGAAGGGTGAGGGTCGTATCTGCCTTTGCGAAAAATTTTGATTGCCCACTGTTACGAGCTACCAGTATTTTGTCTACTCCGGGTAAGGGAGGGAGGGTTCACGAAACAATGGCAAGGGCAGGGTACAGCACCATTGTGTGAAAATACATAAGGGGGGGTCGTACTTTTCGGCTGGGGAGGGGATTGGTCGTTGTCGTCGTCGGGGGGGGGCGCAATGTGCTTTTCAGAGAAATTCGCCGCAGGGAAAAAAATTTCTGGCTCCCGTTTGTTTCTTTTCGAGTAAAAATGTTTTCCTCGTTTCAATGTGTACTAATTTAGCCCCTGTCCCCTCGACGGACAGGGCACGCGCGTTGGTTGGGGAATCCCAACAGGGGGTCGTATTTGGCCGCCAGGAGAGGGGGGGTCGTAATGAGTGCGGTAGCCAGTAACGAGCAGCGCAAAGGTGTCAGTGTGCGCGAATCGTGTAGCGGACTTGCTTTCGTCAGAAGAATGCGATATGTAAAAAATGAGTACAAAACTTTCATCCATCAAACTAATCCGAAATAATTGGAATTATTAATAAGTCGACAACATCTCGTAAGTGATTAAACACTACAACTCATACTCTGGTTTGCTGCGGATGATGGGGCGTGTCCTGAATCCACCGCTTGGCGCTGAAAGCCCAAACCTGTTTTCTATTTTTTCTGACAAACGACAGGACTACCATATCGTTCGTACCAGACGTTTTCCAGCACTTGGTCTCCTTTATCGGAATGCAACTATCGGAGCACAGATCTGGCGGCGTCGACACGGACACGCTACATCATCCGCAAGGGAAAACACTGTAGACAAGTGCACAGGTTCGCCATGGACCTCCCTGAATCCTACAGACACATTTGCGCGCGTGGACACACATTATGCACAAGTTCACCATCCCATCACTTCTGCGCGGACCTCAGTGCGCGGCGCATACAAAGTCAGCGTGATCGGCGCTAAACGAACCATATCCTGCTCCTGCTCCACCACAGGATACGTTCTACATGCGTTCCTGGCTATTCGAACACGCTCACTTGAAACGGTGCACAGGAAACGGGTTTTTCGCGCGGCTGGGAGTGCTCCCTAAGAAATCCCCATCGCGAGATCTCATGAATCCCGAGAGCTTCAGGAACAGTTCAATAGGTTTTTAGAAAGAGAAAATCTTGAGAAGCTCGGATCCGTTCTCAGATTTGTGAAATGTTGAGTTACAAAAAAAATATATTGATTCAAACCTGTTCAACTTGAACTTCAACCCTTCACTCCCCAACGAATCCCTATGGCAGCTTTCTCTGTGATTTTCGCGACCTTCATAAACATTTTAGTACTTTCAGGAAGACCAAACCTTCTAATTTACCAATACGCTCTCCTCTTCCCCACAGGTCCGCTTTTGAGGAAGTTATGGTCCTTCAAAGACACCCTACTTTGCTGAAAATTCTCGCTCCATGGCTAATAGCCGTTTGCTCCAGTCACGGCTGCAATTACGTACGCATCTCTGCTACCGTACTCCACATCTCGGGGTTAATGCATTTTAGGCGTATTTCTTTTTTGTTTTCTTTTTCTGTTATACCGCTTTTTGTTTTTTTGGTTTTAATCATTAATCATAGTCTCATTTAACTCGCATTTATGCTGTGTTATGCATACTCATCGTGTTTTGATCAACAGAACGCCTTGTACATAAGTAAATCAAGTCAATTTAGGTAGGACTGTTTATATCTATTTTTTTATATCTAATTGTTTATATCTAATTTCAGGAATTATGTGACGTCAAACAGGCTAAAAAGGGGGGTCGTAGCCGGAACCCCAGAAAGGGGGGGGGGTCGTGACAGGCCCAAAATCCCCATTCGAATGCTGTGCCCTGTCGACGGAAAATCCGTGGGTGAAGAACTGGAAATGTGGGGAACTGGTAGGTAGGTGCTGGGATGAGGGGTCGCACGAGACCTGATTCAAGGGCGTCGTCACCAAACCTTTCCCGAGAGGGGGGGGGGAGGGTGGTCGTACTGGCACCGCCATTTCACACATCACGATGCTGTACTCTGGGCAAGGAGGAGTAAATGGAAAAGCAGAGGCAGTAGTAACAAAGTGAAGTGAAGGCACGGAGGTATAAAGAAAAGAAGAAGCGGGCAGATTGTACGTGTGTAGACATTAAACAGAGAAATTAGAGGAGAGAAAAGAAAAGGATTATAAGGGCGAACCAGCTGATTGCTAAAGAATAGTACTGGAACTGGAGACGGCTGGACGGAGATCAAGTAGTTTTTGCGCGGTTTATCGATATTTCATGAAGGTCAGGACTGACCCAGGGCATAAAGTTGTGTGGCTTATTTAGTGGGGTAAAGCTTTGAATACAAAAAGGTTCAGTTACAACAAGCCACCATTATTCTATTAAAACCTGACTGCAGTTGTCGCCAAACGTCAATGCCCCACCAGAAGCGCATCCGCCGTTACGTTCGAATGAAGCACGCTGCCACGCCCTCCCAGTTCCGGGATATGGAGAGCATACTGCTTCAAATCTGCAAGACGATAACCTCGAACTACCTGTAGCGATACCGCTCCTGTTCACTTTTCCCTCTTCGCATAAAGCGGTGATACCAGACTTCTCATTTTTGAGTTTCGTTTCAGAAATTTAAAACAAACATACTATCACTCGAATCGCGCGATCGGATCGCGAGGTATGAACGAGCTCTTGACCACAGGATCATCATTTACACCAACGCAGATCAACGGTATAAACAACAGCACGAAGGCCTGCACCGTAGATTCAGGCGACAGTAACATCGACTGGCAGTATGCATGGCAGGGTACAGGATCGTGATTTGTGAAATGACGGTGTTACGACCCCCTCCCCCTTCGTGCAAGGATCCTGGTACGAACCCCTCCTTTCCAGCTCCAATTGTTTGCTCTGGTGAGAAGGATTAGATACGTAACGACACGCAAGCGCTGCGACCGCTTTATGATTCCATGGCAAACCAGGGGTGGAGCAGATCCGTCGGCCGGGTGCAAATCGGGGCTTTTTCTGAAGTAGTGGCAAATTGCGAGTTTTTTTTTTGTTAATTGTTTTTATGCTCGGCCACCGGAAGAAACGCCATCAAGACGCCCACTATTCCCTCTGCGTTCTTCTGTGTTGTGTTACTCACCGACCCTATGTTTACGACCCCACCCTCTGGGTTTCGCACAATAATGCTGCATCCTGGTTCAAAAATGCGAAGTACCCCCAAGCCGAACAGTGCACTTTCTGTGTTTTTTCTCTTTACAAAGCTGTTACTGCTCTCTAAATTAAAACTTTTATTAACTCACCTTTCACGAGATACGTTAGAAAGTGGGTTAGAAACTGAAAATCCACATTTATCAAATCATGCAAAACTGAGAGATCCAGTTTATACAAACACCGAAATGGACGAGGAGCTACGGGGCACGGCTAAAACGTGAAAAACTGACAATCAAACACGTGATAAATGAGTAATGTGAATGGTTAGGGACCAATTTAAGACAAGTCTACATTAATCCATGTTCTCTTCTTCATCAATCTTCGGGGCCAGGTAGAACCGCAGATGGCCGTTTTGTTGACCGGTCGACTTTGCCATCATCGGTCAAAGGATACCTGGATGAATACAAATCTCATTTCCTAGATATGTTTCTCATCCATTTCAGAGGAAAGCACTCAAGGAAAAAAATACAATCATAAACTTACTCAACAACTATGGGTACGTCGTTGCTCAGTGATATACGCACACGGCTTGGACAGTGAGGAAGCCTTCGTAAACTGGTTCATGTATTTGATTGAGAAGTTCACATTGACAGGATCTGTCACCTCCAGCGTTACAGCCTGAACAAAAAAAGTACAATGAAGGGGAAACAGCCTTAACCTAGTTGAAGTGGGCCAAGGGCAGGTGCTTCTGCATCCCTTCGTCAAACGCCAAAGGGACTTGGGCTTCAGAGCGTAGACGTTCAGAGCGTATGCGTCGTCATGTCACGCGTCTGGCGGTTACAGTTGCGCATCCAAATCTATAGACGACGACGGGAATCGATCGGCGTTGGCTGCTTATGTTTCGAGAGAGTGTAACAGCAACAGAACTGACGCCGCCTTCACGCAGTATGGTACCCTCCCATTTACCTAAACTCTCCCAAACCCTTGTAGTCGGTGCCGCTCGATATCTGAAGGCGTCATTAGGCGACGCGTATCCACCTGTTCTCCAATACTCTCTCTCCCTCTCTTCGCCTCGCGCGCATCAGTCGAAATTTTGAATTTGTAGTGGCCTTTACGCCCGAGAACCATGTTAATGGTTTTCATGGCCTTAAAGGCACAAGCTAATTCGATGACCTGCAAAAGCCCACTTAACATCATCTTCCGCTGTTCAGCGCTGCTATTTTATTTCGGTGAATAGGTGATCACCGACTGACCATTATCACCCTTTCCGGAGAATACAATACCAGCCTAGAATAAAAGTGAGTGACGGCGATGACATTTTGAAAACAAGAAAAAACTTCTACCTTAGTGGCTGTAACGTTGAGTGTATCAGTGAACATGGTCAAATCTTTGCACGTCTTCTGAAATTCCGATGCAGGCATTTCGCACACAACAGCATAGTCTTGCTCGGGAATACCCAGATGCTCGCTGTCGATATCCATTCATGTTTGAACTGTGAACGTCCTGAAAAATAAAGCGAAATCTCTGGAAACTCTTGCAAACCAGAGAAAGTCGTAGAATCATTATCACCGCATCCCCATTAAAATCTGTTGTATTAGGATTACAAATAATTTCAAATCATTTGAAATTAGTCTTATTTACCTGGTGATTGTCTCTCTTCGTGTCGGCGAATGTGAACGTAATACTGTCGCTGTCGCCTTCCTCATACTTGATCATACACGTGTCATCATTGTTGGCACATTTCAATGCTTTCGACATGTTCGCCAGCGACATTCCGAGGTTAATCGTCCTATCACACCGATACGTATCGAAAAGCCCCACCTAAACAATTTAACTTAGAAAGTAATATTGCCATACGAGTCAGTTCGCCATGAAAAAGCATCCAGTCAACTACTTTCCGCTCTCGCTCAGTTCATATACTGTAAATAGTCCAAAACACAAATTGACCAAAACAATTCCATTTTGCGATTTTTTCCACAGCGAATCTGACTTTCTTTTTCCTTTCGAGTGCTTGCGGGACTGATTGGCTGCAGTTAGGAAAAAAAATCAAAAGCTCTCCTTAATGGTTCCCCACATCGTCGCGGTCGGAAATTCCGTTACAGGTACAGTGTTTAACCAAATGACAATTGTTTGATCTCTGCAACCCTAGCAGGCTTATATCCTTGAACATATTGGCCTTCGGTCGGCAAAGGAACACCCCCCACACTGGTGATTATGAACCTTCACCTGCATTGTCGCACCGATGAGAAGATACGGAGAAAATTAAGAACTTATTCCAATCTTGAGACGACACATCGGGCCACATTGTGATGAATCCAAGTTTGGACGACACATTGCTGATTCGGAGCATCGACATGGGAGCATGAGTTACGAGATCCTGAAAAACTTTTCAATCATTTCGAAACATTTAAACCAGCACAAGGAAACTCCGCTATACAGAGGGAACTAACCTTGATTGCTTCAATAATCTTCTTGAGAAGGGCAGCGCTTGCTAGCTTGGCCTCGAACATTATGAAATGTTAGTTATCTGAAAAATGCATCACTTTTTTTCTTTAGCGAAATTTACGTTGTTCGACTCTCTCTATCTCAACGGTTTCATAGTGAATCGTTGTCCGAGCACTATTGGTTCAACAATTAGACCGTATAGAAATAATTATTTACTAGGAGCGAGACGATCGAGCCCTAATCTATGGGACCACAAACCATAATTGAACCTCATTCAGATAATGCTTTTATGCTCTAAAATGTCCCAAGGCCCTCAACAGAAAAAAACCGCCACCTTAGAAAAAAAACAGATGCCACAAAAAAAAAAAAACCAGAGAACAGCCACCCACTAGGCAGCACTTGCGTCGATTCGCGTGGTTTTCAAGATTTTCGCGCGCATTCGCCGATTTCCCGCGCTTTTCATTCAACCGAATGCAATTGGGCGGATTAAATACTGCCCGCCCTTTACGCTGGGTGTACCTGTGAATGTTTCCCATGGGAGCACTCGAGGTAATAATCACATCATTAGCACTTAGTTAAGAAGGTGTTTAAGCATCATCGAAAAATTCGCAGTGTCCTCGATGATATTTAGTTCGCGTTCCTGGGCGGCTTCGATGGCGACCTACCTACAGATAGAGGCAGCAATGTTTGTGAGCGTTCATGTGAAAAAAAAAACAAAATAACAACCAATGATACGAAATTAGGCGCAGTTCGGCGGCGAGGGGCATTTTGCACTTTCGCTGCTTCGCTAGTTCCGGTTTACAAGTCGCACTGTAGTGAAATCTGTGAACTCTCTGAAGATAGAGTGAGCTCGTCAAGCCATCATGGTAAAACCTGTCAACTCGAGATGAGGCTGTCTAGATGGGTCGGTACGTCGGTGGGAAGTAGCGAAAGTGCAAAATGCCCCCTCCCCGCGATATGCTATGACGCAAAATTACGCCGATCTCATTTTTAATGGCCATGTAGCCCGGAGCGGTTGAACACAGTCATAAACGGTACAGGGCGACGAGGGGGAGGAAGAGTTTTGTACATTCGCTACTTCACTGGTTCCTGTTTATGAGTCTCACTTCTGTCAATGTCAACTCCTGTGAGCTCATGATAAAGCTCATAAAATGAACCTCTTCATGAATGAACAAGAACCAACAGGTGGTCTCTAGAAACTTTGTATCAGGGCGCGCTAGGGAAAGTTTTCGTGAAATACGACCGTCCCCCTGATTTCTTCCTCTACTCCGACTCCAGCCTTCTTTAACAAGAGCATACGACCTCCAGTGGGATACTAGGCAACACTGAATAGCAGCCCGTGAAAACGCGGCGAAAAAATCAACAATCAATAAAATTTTCTCAGACCTAACACGTCCTCCCCCTCCGCTGGGGACTCTCCAACGTGCTACTTTATCCTGTTTGGTATCATTGGGCGGCTTGCACAACGTCTTTACAGATCCTCACTATCGATGGTCTCAGGACGGGAAAACAGTGAAAGCTGCAAAATTTCCCCACCGCTTCCACCCCCACCCCTGCTCCGCTCGATTTGCATCCGGTTTGGGTTGTGGCCTCTACCTGGCTGAGATGCCGCACCGATCCAGCTTTGCGTTAGCATATCAGAAGGCGATTGGAAAAAGCGTTGGCTGTTTTGGATGGACTGTGACCTATCACTCGAGCAGAGCTACGGCCATTCCAGCCACCATTATCATTCCACTAACTCAGTGCCACATATCACGTAAAAATCGAAATGTTTCAAAAACAGAATTTTCGGGGCTGATGTCCTGGCGGGGAGGGGACCTGTACGCACTACGAAACCCTGTAAACTGCGAACATGATATTGAACGAACTTGCCAACATCCTGTAAGCCTTGTTGTCAATCACCTGTCGACTACCCTATGAAAACCTGCCAAACCAACATGAGTTCACTTGGACGAAAAAAGCTTTTGGACTTTCTCACATGCGGAATATTGTTTGCAGCCCCTATTAAATAAGCTAGCGCTGCAACACCCCCTAAACAATCGCGAGAGTGCAGTAATTAATGGGCGTGTACCATTCAAGTACCAATGGTCCTTGTCTTTCGGTCTAACAATATCTGTACAGTTTTTATGGACAGAAGTCATAGAAACAAAACAAAAACAACAAATACATTGTAACAATAAAACATAACAGTAAAGTAACAATAAATTGTTAACATGTCACACTGAGTAGAGTCACCCCGCCCTTAAACTTTATAAACCTTCAAAACCTTTATATATCTATACGAATTTAAACCTGTGAAAACGATTCTGTTAAGCGGTTTGCATGGCGGCTTGCTGAACGGAGGTAGGCTTGAAAGGTAACCCGAGGAAGACCGCCCTAGGCCCATCCATAGAAGTTTTGCGGAACATACTAACTTCATTCGTATATGAGAGTTACCCACAAAAGCACATTCTCACTAGTCAGTAGCGATTTGTATAAAGTGATAACAACTGATTAAGGCTGGGGTCAATACATAAGCATAATTATTTCTTCCGCTTTCCGCCAACATGCTTTGCCCCAGAAGCACGATTCGCTTTCTTCTTGAGATTTTCTTGCCTTCGGTGTTCCATGTACTCCTGTAGCTTCGCAGATTTCTTTCTGATCTTCTTTATCTGGCTCACATTCCGGAGCTCAGATTTAGGTCCCTGAAATAAAGGCGTGAAAACGGGTAACACATTTTCCTGACTGGTAATAGAAAAGAAAATCAGGCGCAGTTCGACTTCGTGGGAGCATTTTGCAGGTTCTCATCGATCACTGCCGACGCCTGTTGCGGAGACGCAAATTCCTGTGAAGCTATGCAATAACATGAGCCTCTTGAGACTTGGCAAGAATCTACGAGACTAGCCAAGGTGACATGTAACTTAACAGGGAGTACAAGGAAGGAACGAAAGTGCAAAATCCCTTGCCCCCAACTCCAGAGCGCGCAAAATACGTCAACAAAATATCAGTAACTACCTTTAGCTTGTTGTTTCGCTATTGTGTGAAAGTCTTCCCCATTATTGAATTTTGAAGACTGTTGCTAACCAGATGTCCTGGCTCTTGTTCTATCACCATCGTCCTCTTCAGAAAAAGAAGCGGATTCCGCGCCTGCACAGGCTGAGGCAAGATCACACAAACTGCAGACGAAACAAGCAGTTCCACAATTCTCGCCTTCCTATAGCCGATTTTCTGTTTCTTCTTCCAGTCCTCGTATCGGCCAGTTTTATATGAGGCTGGGAGCCACGTTCCGTCTTCAGTACGTATTCTTTTGATGTCTTGTCCATCACCGCCAGGTCCAACAAATCGTTTCTTTTTACGATCCCTGTAAAAGGTCATCAAAGACTGGACACTAAATATCATTTCCCGCGATGAGGAATGGGGAGGCGAAGAGGGGCGAGCTCATGACAGTCTTCGCCTCGAGCACCTCTTTTTTTACCCTTTGGGAGACAACATTCCCTCTCATGTGTGCTTATCGCAGAATGTGCCCCTATAAAGGCTCACAGTGAAGTGTGAAAATAGTTCTGAGGTAATGTAGCTCCCATTGTTTGTTTTTTTTTTGAAAAATACTATAAAAATAAAAATAAAAATACTAGCGCTGTGGTCAACATCGATAGCTCCCTTACCATCGCTTTGCGTGCTTTTGCTTATACAGTCCTTTATCGTCATCAGCAAAAATCTCCACAGTAGCACCATCAGCTTGTCTTGCGAAATCCACCTTGTCCAAAGCCAATTGCTTCTCAGACTCGAAATCTGCTGCCGAGTAAGCCACAAAATTCCTAGCCTGCAATGGAACCGTTTACTACTGATTGCACACACAACTTCATGGGTAACTTCCTTCCAACCTTTTCTCTTCTTCGCTCTTCGGCCTTGTCAATCTTGTTCGAAGTCTTTGGTTTGCTTGCTTCTCCATGTCCTCCACGCCCGATCACTTCAGTAAACACTTCTGACTGGAAATCACGTCAATCAGGCAAATGTTATCGAGGACATAGGACTACTCGCGAAAAGCTAGCAACATCACCCAGTTGGGAGGTACCACGTGGGTAAGTAGGCAAAAGACCGTTATAGGCTCGCTAAATTTTGTGCAACTGTAGATTCGGTTACTGAGGCTTTGGGAGCCCTTATCAAATATAAGCACACTATCAGACTTTTAAAGGGTGGACTATCTAAGGAACGTTGTTCCACAAGTAGAGATATCGCCTTCTCTTCGATTTCACTCTCATCACGTTGGACGTGTGCAGTAAGGCACAAAAGCCATCAGGCTGAGAAAGAACGGCCCTGGTGGTGTAAAGGATAGCGCACTTGCCCGGTCAACGTAAGGTGCAGGTTCAAGTCAACCTTGCGTCAAGACTTTTGCCCATCACTAAGCATTCTTGTTATTTTACCATCGTTTCATCTTGAGTGAAATAAAAATGAGATGAAAAGGCGCACAGATAGCACCAGACCTTAAGTGTAGGAGGTCACGAAAAAGATTAGCTGCTTTTCTGAAGGTCACAAACGAGGCAGTCATAAGAGGACACGAGGCACGAATTTGTAGGAGAAAAAAATCTTGTGTAGGTAGCAGTTCGATTGAGAGCCGAGCACGTCTACTCTGGGAATCCCCAGCAACGAAAGGAGTCGAATTTGCTTTCGAGAAAAATCTTTTCGCTTGTTGAGTTTTTCCGTGCTATAGTTTCCTGTTTTCTTGTTTTACTGTTTTGACTGGCGACTGTAGGGCTCCCGCTTCACGTCCTCTTTCGCATGTACGGTAGTCTCTTTCGCTTCACGGAGGGCGGGGGGGGGAGATGAGCGGCAGGATCGTAGCGGGAGCTTCAGATAAGATTCTGTTGATTACCACCCAAAAAAGCGATGGAGCCGAGTCATATGTTCCAAGAGTTCATTTTAACGATGAGAGCGCATCTCTTTCGGCATATCTTCTCTCTCCCTCAAAATTATATTCCCAGTACAAGTATGTCATCACTCACGATGGCCGCTTCATCCGCATTTTCAATATTGGAATCCTGTGTAGTTTCTCCGTGACTTCTGTCCTCTGCGGAAAGAAGCTCCTTCCTTCGTGCTCTCTCTTCATTTTCTTGGCGAATGCGTTCTTGATGTTGACGACGTTTTTCTTTCATGACAGCAGCAGAATGAGACTTGCTACCAACGTTCAATTCAAAAATCGTCTGAATGACATAACAGCATTCAAATCCGCCTTACACTTGCCATTTCCGCCTCTGAATGAAAAGAAAAACCAGCTCCGCACATTAGCTTTATCTCTGCCAGCTCGTTCAAAATGGAGTACTGTTGAGTATCCTGGGCAGTACGAAGGAATGGATGAGCGGAGCATTCAGCTACTTTCAGTCTGAAAACAGCGGAAACGGACGCACAATTGTGCTAAATGCGGCATGTGCTTGCTTAAATTTTCGAGGTGCTAATGTACTCATTGTCAGCATTAGTGAAGAAATCGCAAGAATTCGTCGAAAGCAGCTAGCACCCGGCGGAAGATCAAACCACCCATCAGAGGGCAGAGAAGAGCGATTAGACACTGACAGTCATGCTTTGTTCACTGCAGAATGATGGGGCGTGTCAGGAAAGAGATGGGTTGGCAGCGCCAGCACCAATTCTTATTGCTTATTTCGGTTCGGCAAGCGACGAAGACTCTATCATCCGGTTCGTATTCAGCCGTTTTTCACAGTCACCTGTTGCGTCGCTTACCCTCTTTCACCAACTGGCGAAGAGCGGACTGGTGGCACTCTAAACCCAGCGAACAAGACTGTAGTTGCAAAGAAAGCAGAGGGATTTTTACATATTTATGTGGAGCAGACGAAAGAATAGTCAGGGTCAAGTTGCAAGTCCCTGGAGTTTTACAAGCGCAGTTTCGAGTAGAAGTGAGCTAGACCTAGGGAGAGGATTCTATTCACCCACGTCGTTGCGGATGAGTACGCATAACCGATAGAAATGATACATAAGGTCGGGTTCCAAGACCCTTCGCTAATCGACGGCGCATCTGGTGTATGTTGACGCGGGTCAACGTCGAGTCAGCGCAGCCGTAAAAGGGAAAACAGCCCAGATGCGTATCGATCGGCGCCGGCCGCTGGTGTTTTGCGAGAGCATAAGATAAAAGGAGGGTACCAAATTGTGTGACTAGGCGTTCACAAGTAGCAACGCTGCTGTTTCACGACCACTCTGCAAACCTTTCCATGTTACGTATAGGTATGGGCAGCGACCCTTGAACCATCGCCGCGACGCTAAGTCGCGAAGTCTAAGGCAACCTGGGACTACATAAGGATCTTTACGACAAAAAGGCTGCACCGTACGCTCTCTTTAACCTTTCTACCGATTCGGCGCGATGGTGGTGACGATGGCCGGATGTAAGCGCATCAAATAGCATTTGTAGCTTTCATGCGGAGCATGCCAGCTGAAAGTGATAGCTCAAATCACTACTGTGTTGAGGGCTATATTAATCAAGTAACTACTACCATTTCTTCATTATTATCATGGATGGAGTTGAAGAATTCTGATTCGAGCGCTGCTATGTTCTCAGGTGCCTTGCCGATTAAAGTCGTTTGCTCTTGAAAGAAATGATAGAATATATCAACACAGAATAAGTTCAATGCATAGACGGGACGTCTTTGCGTTTTGTTTTCGTGGTTGTTTTTTTTCTAGGGCCGAGTTTGGTGCGGCGGGTAACGCGAATTCACGACATCATAGTTTGTCATCTCTACTGCGCCAAAATCGCATGAGGTTTTCCCCAAAACCGGAGGAACAGGTCTGGCTAGATTATGGGCAGTTTCATCGGGGAGCGATCAGAGATATGGCCTGTACGCGCTCCGGCTGCTCTGGAGCTACACGACGCGGGAACAACGGGTGGGACAGGAATAGATGTTTCGGCTTGGGAGGGAATATGAACGTTGTGACTCACCCTAAGAAATCTAAACATGAGATTAAGTAAAAAGGTCTGGCAAAGCGAACTAAATCAAACGCGTACTGTATCAAGCAGAGGGCATATCAACACACCACGCCTGCAGCTACACATCAGTAAGCGATGAGAATATTGTGTTTTTCCTTTCCGCGACACCTGAACGCGACTAGTTACCGGGTCGCCTGACCAAAAGTTCGGAATCGAAAAGAAGTAATAAGATTTCAACCGGAGTTATTCTGTCAAGTAATCATCGGCCGCTGAACCACGTCCTACAAATAAGTTATTTCATCGGGTTCGGGCCCGACAAGCGCGTAGTAAGGCGCAGTACTTCATTTGAGAACATTAAGTATGCGTTCGTCTCGGACAGAATTTTGTTGAGGCAAAGCGGTCGTCTGTTTACGAGCTGACAAGGACGTAGAATTACAATGTGTCAAAAAATACGGCCATCATCCCCACGAAAAGCCATCAGTCTGCCACCACGTCAGATTGAAGTTTGCAGCCGCGCCACGCCCTTCCATCTCTGGATAGTTGTAGCAACAGAGCGCATAATCTCAGGCGTGAAAGAATTAACGCCAGGCACTGACCCTTTTGCAATATTCAGTTTCCGTGCCGTGGCGTCAAGTTGACTGTATATGAAGGAATTATCGATACCAGCCCGATTCATGATTCCTACCACATACCTAAAAACGGAATAGTAAGTCAACAAATTTATTGTGAAGAAAGGCTTGAAAGCCTTGGAAAAACATCCAGTCAAGCTGGCTTAACTGGTCACGATTTCCTATAGCGAGGCTACAGCTGTGGAGAAATTCCGAAGCGAAAACCCTGGGCATCTATCTATATTACAAGAAAGGGGTGTAATTTCGGGGTTGGAGGACAGGGCACGCGATGAGACCAGAGTGGTTTGTCCGCTTTTCCAACCCTGATAGTGATTCTTTCCCTTCTTGAGGCTCGTTCACAAACAGTTCAGACAGCTGGGATTGTCGCAAAGAGCTTCACAGTCCGGTGAACCGCAGCTACCGTAAGCCAAGCTGTACGAGACCCTCTCTTATTTGGGCTCAGGATGCGCCCCGCGAAATCGCGTTGCGGCTCAGGATGCGCGCGCGAAGTCGCGTTGCGCACCCAAGCGAGTGCGTCAATGTGGTGAAACGTAGATTGCGTGCAAGCCGGAGGTGGTATAAAATGGAAACTGTGAGAACCTCATACTCGGGAAACTAAAGAAAGCGCGCAGATTATACGGTAGCAGGCCGGTCTCGACTGGCGGAAGTTTACTGTTATCCTTTTCTCTCCCATCGTTGCTAATGCCACAAAAAAATAATAAAACCTGCGATATTTAAGAACTTACTCAACGTGCTTCATCGTTGCACAAAACACAACAGTTTGCTTGCCTTCAGCATCCATTTGTCGGCATATGTGTAACAATACTTCTAGTTTGTCATCAGCTCTACAGGTTGCAAACACCATTGAAAGCCGATCCGAAATCTTCTCGTCGACATCAAGGCGAACTTAAATCCGGATCCACACAGTTATAGCCAAATAAACTGAAGAAACTACTCACCCAGCATAGGATCCGATAGTCCAGCTTTCGCAAAATCCACAAGCATTTTCGGTAAAGTGGCCGAGAAGAGCAAGGTTTGTCTGCTTTCGGGTATACGTTTCAGTGTTTCCTAGACAACTAATATAACTGCAATTTCCTCATGAATACCCCTCAACCTCATACCGTCAACTGATCCTGGAATCCCATTTCAAATAATCGATCAGCCTCATCAGACACCACGACTGTACAGAGCTCAGCCGCAGATCCATCTCGACTATGACATGAAGAAGTCGACCAGGAGTTGCGATCAATCTTCAAAGCAATAATTCCTCGTCAGAATAGAATGGTACGAAAACCAAACAGAATAAATGCTAGGAAAAGGTGCTACGCTTAGGAGGGGCATTCTACATTTCCCTGGGTGTATGTCGTTTGGCGCAGTTTTTTTGTCGCCTAACGACGAGCCGCGGCCGCCAGAACATGATGTCAGACAAGCCATACAACGCGAAACAACTCGGGCGTAATTTCCAAATAGTCGCTTTTTCCTCCTAATGAAAGCATTTAAACGAGGACATGACCTATTATTAGAACCCGAGTCCACAAGAGCCCTAACCAACGTCACTGCCTATAAATGGTAAGGCACGGAAATACGAAAACGGCTCCACAGTCTGGGGTTCGACAAGTTATCCAACCTGATAGGCATGTAGTGTTACTTGTCAGAACACGTAAGCTGCAATGTGATCGCGCCAAAGGACCGCCTCCCCCCTTAGTCTCTCTTCCAAGTTGATGTAGAATTACACGTCACGCCTCGGCGATACTTGTGAAGCCTTGTCAAATGCTAACGAAGCTCCTGCTATTGCATAGCGGGACATGGATTTACAGACATCGATGGTGATTGACAGGAACCAGCAAAATGCCTCCACCAAGCCAACTGTGACAAACATCAAATGTGACTCAAACACTGAGACACTTGAATTGATAAGTGTCAAAGTTGCCAGAAAACGCCCTGAGCTAACTTTACTCAAAGTTTCGTGTTGCAGTAACAAGTAGCTATCTATCAAAGTTCCATGACGGCTCTTCTCGATAGCTTGAGCGCTACTAAGCAGAATCTCGCACCGAAAAATGTCGAACCCAGTGTAAAACTAATGGCTAGTGTGGAAGAATAACAGCACTTCTCAACTAAAATGCCTCTCCCCTTAACATCATATGAACTCACATGTCAGGATTTTCATGAATGCAAGAGAATTGATCCTCAATAGCATCTCCGCCGACTAGGATAGCACATCTGAGGCCTGTGAAACGACCCATCTGTAAAGAAGATTTGCAGAGGAAGTCTTGTAAGGTAGAGGACATAAGAGATAAAAAATTCATATCAGTGATATCCGAAAGATGTAGGTGCCTTTAGAAATAGTGAGTATAGATGAGTGATAACTGAACTTCAAAATCATATAACGCACAGTTTTGTTCGCTGCAAATGAAGGGGCGTATGAGGAGTTCGCGCGGCGACAGCCCGCTGCTATTCGTTTTTTCTCAGCAAGCGACAAAAGTGTATCATATCGTTCGTATCAGTGATATCCAACAATTGTTGACGCTTATCGGCCTCAGCAACTGCTCGACACAGGCTGCGGAATGCCCTCCGCCTCCATACTCGTCCCACCATCCGCAGTGAAAAAAACTGTATAAAAAGTAAATGAATGTTTGTATATTGCGTATAAGAAAGCAAATGAATGTTCTGACAGCTGCCACTTTTCAGGCAAACCGCAATCTTCCATAGAAAGCTGATTCTAAGGACAACAGTCTTTGACCTCTAGCAAGGTTATTGAATCTCCAGGCCTTTGTCCATAAAAGGTGAGATGGGGCTAAAGACAGTTGTAATAGTTAGCAAAAATGAGAACGAAATTTTGCCGCACCTCTTTGACGACTTTAAACGTTTGAAGGGCGAGTTCTCGCGTCGGTGACACTAAAAGAGCACGTATACCCCTTGTATCGCGCCGTTTCAAGCGCTGTAACATTGGAATAACGAAGGCTGCTGTTTTTCCACTGCCTGAAAAATGAAATACTGTATTGAACCATAACCACTTATGAAGTAATTTTTCGTTATTCCACAACCGCGGGTATCGTATGTTGGCGATCTCTCCCGGCGCGACAGGAGTTCCGGATAAAGTAACATGGAAAGTTTTAGAAAATTAGAAGGTAGGTGGGATGGAGGATGTGAAAGGGGTCATGCCAGAGGAGGAAGTTTTGAGAGGAGGTGTTACAGTGCAAAGATTTCCCCCAGTAGCAGGACGTGCCCAGACTCAAACAGCAAACCATCGATGGGTCTAACCTTTGGAGACCCCCCAACCAACCTCCCATCCTTCCAATTTTTCTCAACTCTTCTCTATCAAAAGAAGCCGCCATGGAGCGATGGAGGGAGAGTTACGCAGTACGGAACAACCATGAAAAATTGGAAGCGTAAATAAGTTTTATACTAGTGATCCCACCCTACCCTTCCCAAATCCATAAAAACAACTTCAATGGGTATCCCCTAGCGTACGACGTGCCCTGTCAAACACTGCAAAAGGTGAAAAGCATCGCACCTGTACGAGACATGGCCACGACATCTTTGCCATCAAGAATACAAGGAATGGTCTTTCGCTGGAATAATGTCAATCACCGAAGCAGATCTCACTGCAATTACCTAGTTAACAAATATATACCTGAATAGGAGTTGGCTGCTTAAATCCTTTCTTCTCTATCCCTTTGAAAACCGTATGGTCTAAGCCTGAAGCAGAAAAAATAAATAATTGACAAATAATCGAAAAAACCAACGCAAGTTCTTCTAACAACGACCATAGCCTGGCCAATCACTCGGCGGGGCCCTGCCAATCCTCCGCCCATTTTTCTGTTTCAGCGATTTCTTCTCAGATTGAAGATGGGAATAGTCGCGCTCCTCGTCGTCCGACATTTTTGTTACCCTAAGAAATCAATCGAACAAATTACGTTGAGAGATCTCAACTGAACTTGGACACTGAAAGGTGAAAACTGCTAGAATTATACGAAATTTGACAAAGAACTCGTAAACATCTGTAATACTCTACGCGTAATTTTTGTTTTTAGCGCAAACGCGGACAACATCTTTTACCTTACGCCTTCTCCATTATTTTCCCACTCCCCTAAGGCCGCGTTCATGACGTACCGTGCGACGACTTTTGCGTAAGTTGCGTAAGTTGCGTAAGCTGCGACTAGTTCGTGAAGAATACATACGTATCGATCCGACGAAAGCTGCGTAAGCTGCGTAAGTTGCGTAAACCTGCGTAAGTTGCGACTAGTTTGTGAAGAACACATACGTATCGATCCAAAGAAAGCTGCGTAAGTTGCGTAAGTTGCGTAAGCTGCGTAAGTTGCGTAAGTTGCGTAAGCTGCGTAAGTTGCGTAACCGACGACAACTTCGAGAAGAATAGATACGTATCGATCCGACGAAAGCGACGGAAGTGGCTGTAGGGCCATTTTTTGCATTTTGAGAATACTTCTCCCCTTTATTTTTTCTTTCCTTTTCCTATTTCCTTAATCATCTCAATTTATCTTCAATCCATTCTATCCTTGCTGTTTTTCGTGAAAAATAGCATGACGTGGCTTATGACGTGGCATCCTAGTGTATAAGCAAGAAATTCTCTACAGGATGGGCTACTGAGAAGGAAGGCAGAAAGAGTTTTTAAACAGCAGTGAATGTACAAAAAATAGGTGCACAAAACGCTGAGAACTTTCCGGACAACCTAATACAATTATGTGGCTCGGTCGAAATGTCTTTTTTTTGCTCCCCCCCCCCTCTTGTATATACGAATGACACAGCAAATTGATAGGGAAGTAACTACGGCAATTTCGAGGAAGAAAGTAAGAACAAAAATGAAGAGAGTTCGGCGATTTTGAGAAAGAAAGAAGAAAAGAATAAACCAAGATTATTAGGAACATCTCTGCTCTCACCACCCCCGCGGGGGACGCCCCGGGCGATTCTATCGTCGGCAAGTCAGGCGACGCCGCACATGCCGCTGCGCGGCACGCCGCGACGCGGCAATCCCGGAGTTGCATTACCGTACTCCCGAGTTATACTCCCGAGAGCAGAAATCATAGAACATTGATTATTGACATTCTTTGTTTGCGTGCGTTGGGTGTAATGGCTGGCGCGATTTTTCTCATTGCCCACACGTCAAATCCTGTCAGGCAAACCTACTTCCAGATAAATCCAACCTGTTACAACACGTCAACTGTAACGTGATCGCGCCAAACGTTCAAATTGTTAAAGGGTCGATGATCCCTTTAAGAATTTGAACGCCACGCAACAAAACACGTACGCGGCGGCCGCCACGCCGCCTTGCTCCGCCCACCGGCGCGACGACGCCACGATAGAATCACGAACATCTCTGCTCTCACAGTGAACCTCATGTTATCAAGGCACTCGTGGTGCCACGTGGCGCCACGTCTGCACGCAACTTACGCAGCTTACGCAACTTACGCAGCTTACGCAACTTACGCAACTTTCGCAGCTTACGCAACTTACGCAGCTTACGCAACTTACGCAGCTTACGCAACTTACGCAGCTTTTCCGTCAAATCGATATGTATCCAGTCTGCGTGAAGCTGTCGTCGGTTACGCAGCTTACGCAACTTACGCAACTTACGCAGCTTACGCAACTTACGCAGCTTTCGTTGGATCGATACGTATGTATTATTCACGAACCAGTCGCAGCTTACGCAACTTACGCAGCTTACGCAGCTTTCGTCGACGTTGACGACGACGTCGCACGGTAAATGAACGCGGCTAAAACACATGGTTGGTGAGACATCCCCAATAGGAGGGGGGGGGGGGTACTATTTGGCCGCCAAGAGAAGGGGTCGTATTTGGGCTGGGGAAAACTTATTTTGATAGTTGATTTTTCTCGCTTCACGAACGTTGCAAGGGGGGTGGGGTCGAATTTACGTTTTGGCGTTTAGGAGCGGTGGCTGACTTTTCATATATATTTTTTGGGGAGAGCGGGCGTACCGACCCCCCCCTCCCCCAAAAAAAAGGGGGGGTCGTACAGACTTCAGGCCGCGTTCATACGTGATGCAGAAATGCGAAACCACGGAATGTGCAGAACTGCGGAATTTGCAGAAAAAGAAAATATGTCTATCGGTTTCAAAAACCGTGGAATATGCAGAAGTGCGGATGCAGCAAATGCGAATGGAGCCGATCGATCCTCAATCCTTCCTTGTCCGTCATTTCTGCATTTCTGCAAATTCCGCACGACGGCAGGGAAGAACCAATCGATCCCTATCAATTCTTTGTCCGTCATTTCTGCATGTCGGCAAATTCCGCGGAATTTGAAGAAATGCAGTTTTCAGATCGATACGTATATATTTCCTTTCTGCAAATTCCGCAGTTCTGCATATTCCGCATTTCTGCATCATGTATGAACGCGGCCTCACCAAAATCCCCAACCAGTGATATGCCCTGTTACTCTCTCTCTCTCTCTCTCTCTCTCTCTCTCTCTCTCCCTCTCTCTCGTCTCCTCTCTCTCGTCTCTCTCCCTCTCCTCGTCCCTCTTCCTCTCCCTCTCCCTCTCCCCTCTCCCTCTCTCCTGTTCTCCTCTCTCTCTTCTCTCTCTCTCTCTCTCTCTACTCTCTCCCTCCGAACCAGATCTCCTCCGAGTGTAGTTGAGAGAGCCGCCGTCGCTTCATCGAAAGCCAGGAACCGGTGGCCAACCATGTAACTCGTAGCTCGTATAAATAAGGCAAGAGTAGGCTGGAAGTATGTGAGTCACGGATCGAGCCCACGAGTTCTCCTGCTTGATGTGATTGGTAAAAATTACTGTTTCAGGTAACTGCCGCTGGGCAGCGTAGATAACTTTCTCCAAGTTTGAAACTTGCACGGGCAGCTGTCACGGCCCACCCACACACACTAACCATAGGCAATGGCGGTACTTGGCGCACTCTTCATTGCTGGTAGTGTATACGCTCCTGACTGGCATGTTCGCTGCGCAGAATCGGTATGACGTACAGTCGTCATCCTTGCACTTGATAGGGGCGTGTCGGCGAGAAGGAGCGTGCACACTGTTTGAAGCCTTCTCAGCCTTTTCGTTGAAACGCGTATGCGACAAAAAGTGATAGAAAACGAGTAACACGAAGGATATAATACAGTAATGTCACTCTCCTGGTTCAACGATTGGTGCAGTACGGGTGCTGACGACCGCGCCGCACGCAGCCGCACTGACATTGACTATCAAGTGCAAGGATGACGACTGTAAAAGTGATGCTGCTTGAGGATAGCGCTTGCGGTGTATGGAGACGGCATCCGGGTAATATTCCCCTCCAGCCCTGTCCAAGTGCAGTTCTGAGCGGAGAAAGAAACATGCTACTGCAGCTGCAGACCCTGTTCCACCTCCACACAAAGCGACCGGGAAACAACTATCCATGGAGGTGAGTGTCATATAGTATTGCCTTAATGTGACAGGATTCAAAAATGTCAGCGTATGGAAAAGAAGTTTTGTACAATTCACGGTTCGTCCTGCGCCTCCTCCCCGCTGCCGCCGCCATCCCAGCCATGGTTTTGTTTGAAAAAACTGGATGAGTAAGCGATACAGATGCAAGTCAGATTTTTTGGAATGAATCATTGTACTTGAATGCGAAGGACGATGGCCTTTATACGCCATGCGAGGATCCTGGTGGAAAAGTTTGGCAGCTCTAAAGGGAATTCGATATCGTGGATGCTTTACCAGTGCTCTCTGAAAAAGGTGATGGAACAATCGTAATGTAATCGTAAAGTTGTTCATGTTTGTTGTCTTTGTTTATTTTTTTCTTTTTATAGTGCCATCCCCTAATTGAGTATGTTCTGTCTTTTCAAGGCTGAGGCGCACCCTTGGGTGATATCAATAAAAATATTATAATGGCGCCAACATTGGGCCAACGGGAGCAAAGACGGCGCACACGTGCAGAGCACGCAGTCTTGTCTTGTTATCTGAACTGAATATTGAACGTGACGACAGAGATCATTTCACCCGACCTGGAATTGCCTCCACCCGACTTCAAATAGGTTTCGCACCACCGCACGATGCTTCGCGGCAAATTATGATTGCCTTGGCTATCTCCCCGATCTCAGCAAGTCGTACTACTAGCTTCCAGCATTGTAACCGCTGTATAATTTTGAACAACAATTACAGTGTTAGCTATGTATCTTTCCCGCTTTCCAAAGATTCAGTTACAATGGTATGCAGATGAATCATCTAGATTTGTCCAGAAAATTAGGCCAGCAGGATGAATAAACAAGGTGGATTCATTGCACAGGTGGCATTCCATGAAGCTGCATATATAGTAGCAAAGAAACTTTCTCGGTGGTACCATGTACAAAATCGTCTTTCTCGTTATTCTGGTCTCGCTACTTGCGTTGACGCATTCTGATAGCAGTAGCAGTGGTAAGTTACCACAAAACTTTGTCATTTTTTTGTTGATGGTCTAGTGCCCCGCCGTTCCAAGATGAGAGATTTTTGAAAAAAAAAGGGCGGGAGGCTATCTGGAGTAAGTGAGGTAGAGGTGTATTCTTCCCAGGCGAAGTTGCTATGACTGAAGATCGTTTTCGGACGAAGGTAGTTGTCTCGGGTTTTGGGGAGATGGTCAAGACAATGGCAATTTGCCGTTTCGTAACTTGCATTACCATTACGGACTGTCGGGGCGTATCAACCAAGCAGGGTACAGCATCCTTGTGTGAAAACACATGGGGGGGTCGTACTTTTCCGCTGGGGAGGGGGTCGTATTTGGGGTAAGACAAATTTATTTTGATAGTTGATTTTTTCTTGTGGAAAAAGGGGGGTCGTATTAATTTTTTGT